CTAAGGATATGTTCATTTCATACCTTGGATTATGTTTTCCCTCCAGATATCATTTAAGCTTGATGCATAATAATTAAAATGCACAAGCACAGATGTTTCTAGGTCTCTGTCAGGAACTAAGCAAATGTTTTGATGTGTCATTTCTTCCAGTAACTATACATGAATATCACAAGAATGTTGTATTAGTTTCCCAGGGCTGCCATAACAATTCACCACAAACTTTGTGGATCAAAACAACAGAAATTTATTGTCTCACAGTTCTAAAGACCAAAAGTACAATCGAGGTATCACTAGGGCTGAAGGCTCATGTGGAAAATCTCCTCATTCCTTTTATAATTTCTGCTGGATGCAAGGCTGCACCTTAGCTTGTGGTTGCTTAACTCTAGTCCTTCCCTCTGTTTTCACATGTCTTTCTCCACTTGTCCCCGTCCTTTGAGTATCTCCCCTAAAGACACTTTCCATCAGATTTAGCGCTCATTCAAATAATCCACAATCGTATCTCAAGACCCTTGTCTTAACTACATCTGTAAAAATGCTTTTACCAAATTAGGTCATATTCTTAGGTCCAGAGGGTTGTGTATGTATATATCTTGGAAGGGGCTAGCATTCAACCCACTAAAAATGGGTAGAAGAATAACAGGAGGAAAATGTCACATGTTATTCACCTCAGTGGCATGTCATATTTGAAAAAGCACAAATGGCACAAATGCTAAGCCTGGAATGTCAGTGCCCTGGGAAATGGAAGGTGAAAGCTGTCAGAAAAATGTGAAATGATAGAGACAATTTCTTAAACCAGCCACTGATTCTTCCTTCTCTTTTTACATGTACCCTCCTTCCAATTTCATGCCAGTTATAAACTTGTTTGACTTGCTTTCTGTTTCAAAAACTATGTTTTAAAGCAAAAACAGTGTTGATTTGAAGTTCTCAATGGCTTCATTTTGGGGGGGATGAAAATGAACCCTTTTAAGTGCCAACAGAAATCTGTCTGGGCAATATTAGATATTTTTAGCACAATAATGAGACTATATTTAACATAATTTGACAACTTTCATTTATTCAATCATCTCTCCCATTTTAAAACTTATGTCATTTTATATTTATAGGGATATCAAGAAAGCTGTACAAACTTTTATTTAACATTTATACCAGGCTTACAATTATCAATTATGTATACCATTCCCTTAAATGATTCACAATTAGAATCCTACACATACTTTATATTTTTCTTTTCTTCACCAACAAATTTATTAGAAAATTAGTCTAGATTCCATTGTCTCACTCATCATGCCAGTCAATTTTAGCTGCATTTTTATTTGAGCACAGTTTAAACAACTTAAGAAATAATGCTCAATTTCCAGATGCTAAGATTAAGTAAGTAAGTGAGTGAGACCAGGGGCCAACTCAAAGACAATGCCCTTCCTTTACTGATTTTATATTCTATACCATGTTTCTTAATTTAAGGGTTTTCTTTTTTATCTACAAGATATACATACTTGTTTATCTTTACAATTTGTTGTAAGAAATTAAATTACACAATGTCTCTTAAATCATTACCACAATGCCTTACATAGGACAAGCATTCAATAAAAAGTGGTGTTGTTATTATTAATTTTGCTATTATCATGAGTATTTGGTAATGACTTTCCCAGTAGTCAAGAGATTACTCTTTCTCCTTTCTAAAACTATTTCCACTGGATGTTCTATTTTATCCATAAGGTTCTATGCACAAATTACTTGACTACTATGTCTGATAGCTTGTGTTCAGCCTTCATCGTACACGTAATACATTAGTTGGCATTAGGGAAATGTCTAAACTTTTCTGTCTTTTGACTTCTATTATGTTTTGCTACCTCTCTCTTTGTTTGCTAGCTCTTCGTTATTTTTGTGGTCCCTAATTGTCATTTTTCTCAACATTTATATTCTTGAACTTCTCTCTCATCATTCTGCCTTCATTGATAATCTCCAAACCACTGACTCCCAAATTGAAATTTTAAGTTCTGGACTTTTACCTAGAGTCAAGACCAGCATTCCAAACTTCCTGCTTATACTCTCCAACCGGTCATTTCCTTGACTCTTACACTCAAAAACAGTCCCATTATTTTTCCTTCAAAACTAACTCTTTACCAGCTTTACTTAATGGAAATAATATGTTTCCTTGTGGAGTAATTCTGAAGATGACATTTCTTTATAAATCATGGCTAAAAGTAGAACAGCCCTCTCTGGTCCATGAATGTCTTCCTCTTTGAATATCCACATATTTACAAGTTCCCCATGTTCATCATGGAAAACAAAGGGAACTATACTTTCTAATCCAGGGTGGAAAAAAATCAGCCCTGGGGACCAGTGTCATGAAAGACATGAGTAGAATATGCCTATATTAGGAGTTATTTAAAAAGTTTCTCTTTATCTGTTGTTTTTAACATTCAATGAGTAGACAACCATATACATTTGTCTTCCTCAAAGCTTGAAAAGTATAGGCTCACAGATTGAGCTGCACAGATGTCTATGACAGTGTTATTTATGTTAATAATAACACAAAATTTAAATTCCCAACCCATAAGATATCGATTAAATACCATGTGGTGGAATAAACTCTGAAGCAATTTAAATTGTGTTATAATTGTCCATTAATAGACAGATATGAAATACATTATTGAATAAAAAGTAGAGATTAGAAAGAGGAAAAATAGGATATGCCAAGGAAAAATATTGAGGAATCTTATTTCCTTCATATTGTTACCAGGGGATTTCTAAATATAAATGTAGTGATTCTACTTTCATTGTGTTCCAGAGAATGCATGAAAAGAAACAAAAGAAGTGAAACAGATTTAGAGTAATTTAAACAGTTTAAGGAGCACTGATTTTTGAAGAATTTCAGAATTCAAAAAGAATATTAGATATCAAATCCAAAGTCACTTTCAACGCCTGATAGCAGTTGAAATTGAGTGATTTTCTCCATGTCACATACCTGGTCATGACAGATGTGGAATATGAGGTTTCTAACATCATTCTATTAATTCTCACTATTTTCATATCACTGTTAACGTGACAACTGCATCCACTTTGGACATTTTAAGTGTGTGTGAAAATTGATGTCTCCCCAAAGCTTGAGACTATTCACCTTTATGGAAACCAAATAGCATTGTAAGAGCAGGAATTTGGGGGAATAGTTTTTATTTGATTTTTTATGATTTCTTCGATGGACAAATTTATGCAAACTGCTTAACTTCACTGAGCCTCAGCTACTTTGCCTGAAAAATGAGTTGATTACTATCTATTCCACAGGGCTGTTGTGATGCTTAAATTAGATAAACTTGATTTGAGACCAGCCCTCAGCTGTACATAATAACTCTTTGATCAATGCTAGTTCCTTTCCTTCCTTCTTCCTGTATTGCTTATGAAGAGACCAGTTCAGTAATAATGTAGATGTATTGAATTATTCCCCCCGCCACACACACACACCAAGCTTTATAGTTTTAGTCCTGACCCAAAAGACTGTAGAAGAAATTCTTGTTGATTAAGCCATTCTCTTTTTGTATCTTGTTATGGCAGTACTGAGAAAGAAGTATGTATATTTTTGGATTGATCATTTCATGTAATAACATCTCTTAGGGGCTAAGGCTTAATCAAGACCTATAAGGTGCTACTTTTCCAAATTCAAGAAGAATAGGTCCAAAATTCCTTCCATCCATTTCAAGGATAAAGAGGATAAGGAGCTTCTAAAATATAAGTGATTCTGGTTCTAATCTTCCAATATCTTACTAAGTGTAGGCTTCTCATATAGAATGTGGGTTGGTGAAATTGAGGGATACATAGATACATAGAAACATGGAGAGAGAAAGATATCTCAGTCTCCCTATCTACATTTATACCAAATATATATAATCTAAGTCTAAATCAACTCTACTTTTCAAGAAATACAGTAGTATAAGTTCCCTCATTTTATCAAAACTTGCTACAAGCACCATTTTAATAAAATGTTCATGTCATACTCTCGCATACATTTCTATGGCCATAATTTGCCAACCGTTAGTCTTATTAGACAATTGATACCCTTTTTTGTTTTTGTCTTGTTGTTCAAATAAAGCTTTGTCTACATTTTAGAATATTTCCTTTAGGATTGTATGTCAGAATGGGCAATTATTAGGCTAAAGATCAGAAACATTTTTAATATTTTTTTCTTTTGGCACTACTGGGGTTTGAACTCAGAGTTTTGTATTTGCAAGGCGGGCCCTTCACCACTCTAGCCATGCCTTCAGCCCTTTTTGCTCTGATTATTTTGGAGACAGGGCTTCAATTTTTGCCCAGGTCAACCTAGACTCTGATCCTACTATTTTACACTTCTTGCTATACCTAGGATGACAGGCACATGCCACCAAGCTTACCTCAGCTTTTTTCTGTTGAGAGGGGTTTTCTTTTCTTTTCTTTTTTTTTTTTTACTCTCTTGGCTGTCCTCAACTGCAATTCTCCAAGTAGCTAGGATTGTAGGCTCCTGACTAATATTTTAAATACTTATTGCTGAATTGCTTTGCAGAATATCTGGTTATTCTTTCCCTTGGGTTTAATCCCAAAATAATTCTCAGAATCAAGAAAAGGCAGTATGTCATGGGGAGCATTGGGAACACTGTGATCAGCTACCATGTCAGGTCATGAATGTCACATTACAAAACTCCCAAAGCCATGCACAGCATTTGGAAAACGTGCAAAAATCTCTGTTCCACAAGCCTTCAGGAACTCTGCATTTCAATGCAAGGTAACCTACATTGTCAGCTCAAGTACTGAGCAGAAGGCATCTCTCTCCTCTCTCCTCTCAGGGATGTTTCCACTGACCTGCACATTTGAGTGTTTAGATCAGAGATAATTCTTAATAAACTGCTGTCACTTGAAAGTAAACAGTCTGGACAATGTATATTCCATCAGAGATACTGAGAAAATAAACAATCAGGCTAAGCCTCCTTCTTGTCTTTGTAGCCCTTTCTGGAATGTGTGCTCCACATTCTTTCCCTTTCTTCCCCACAGCAGAAGGTTTTACTTGAAATAAAGCTGTTTGTCTGGCATTTCTAGGGGACCCTCTTTTGAAGAACTACAGCAATGAATGCCATTGGAGTTCTGCTTCAAAGCCACCAGTTCATCCTCCTGCTGCTATTTCTTTTGCAAATTCAGAGTCTGGGTCTGGATATCGATAGTCGTTCTGCCACAGAAGTCTGTGCCACACACACAATTTCACCAGGACCCAAAGGTGAGGAAAGAAACTCAAAACTCCATATAATAAATATGATCTTTTTTCTTATCTTTCAACCCCACCCTGGCTTCTCAAAGACTTTCTCTCCCTGCTTTCTTAAGCTTCCTCTCATTTTCTTGCTATTTTGGAAAATCATAGTTTATGACTTATCTAATGCTTTCCCTCGATTTTAGGCTAGAAAACTTTGGGAAGGAGTAGAACACAGGGCAGGAATCTGACTAATCTGACTAAACTCATTTAGGGAAATTTTCCCTAGAGGAAGACACATAATCAAGCCATTGTCTTCAGGACCACTTCCTTTGAAGACATCTATCTCTATTCTTAGGCTGTTTTCCTTCCTTTCTCATACTAATTGTGATAAATCTGTTTAGGCAAATGATCAATAAAATAACAATTAAATCTGAAACACATATTTCATAAATTAATGGGTGCATGGGTTTCAATGAAGAGAATGGGGCTTTTTTTAAATCAAGGATTGGAGAAAATATATAAATGAACATTTCTTTATTTGAAAGTGGAGTCTTTAAGGTCAAGTGCCTTCAGCTGAGGAATGATAGAATATTGCATTTTTTTTTCAAACAGAGTCAAGGTCTAAGGTCCAAATATGCTTCAAGCAACTAGTTGATAAAAAAAATCTGTTTTCCTGGTTTCAGCTCTTACCCTTTTGTTCTGAAAGTGGTCACTGCACTGCAGATTGGTGCGCTCTTATTAGTAATTTATGCTGTTTCTTCAGGCTACAGGGTGGTAGAATTGCAGCTACTTAAAATTGTAAGTAGAAGAAAGGGTCTCTCCAAAAACTTTTTAAAATGCACGGCCCGATGCTTGTCAGTTATTTAAATGTGTGTGGCTTAAAGTGCATTTTTCTTAATCAGTGAATTAATTTCCTCCTAAGATTGCAGTCCAAGTTTTAACCTTTGATATCATAAAATAAATGCAGGGAGGAACAATGGGACCTGGGGCTTCCTAATAATTTCTTGGGTGAATAAATAAATAATGTGAGGACAAATGTTCAGAAACGAAAGTTTTCGTTAGAAATAATGTATTTACTTAAAACCATTACTGAATTTCCCACGGAGTGTAAGAAAGTTTGTATTCCCTGTAAGGAGTCATGGAGAAGGATGAAAATTAAAGTTTTTCTTGTTTAGCAGAAACAAGAAGAGAAATATGTAGGATATGCTTATGAAAAGAATTCCATTACTTTTTTGCTTTTAAAAGATTACAAAGTATAGGTGCATCTTAAATCTTTTCAAGAAAAAGGCAAGGCATATGCTTTTTAAAAATCAAAACCATTTTATTTCATTTTATCACTTCAATTTATATGCAAATAATATGTGTTGAATACCAAGGGGTGTCCACCATGACTCTTTTTATCCTCATTTTTTTTTCACCTATTGCAAAACTCTTTATTCCCCTCGGAAATCCTGTTATGCTTTCAAGCAATGGAAACCTTGCTAATGCCCCTCCTGAGCCTGTGTAGATGATTACGAGGCAGAGAGTGGCAGGACGAAGATGTGAATAAAACCAGGAAAAAAGAACGTGGGGAGAGGTGTTCTAGAACCCTGAGTTCCAACTGCTATTTCCTCTTCCTTGGAGCATGGAGACTTTGCATCAAATGAATTCTAAGTTCCCTCCTTCTAAGGAGATTTCATGATTCTGTCATGTACTGAACACCCCCAAAGTTCCAGAAATTGTATTAGATGATGGGGGTTTGAGTTAAGGTAAAGAACCTATCTCAGGACTTGTGTCTACATATCAAAGGCTGGAATTAGATTCAACTTTTGGGGTCAGCACCCAGTTGACTCGTGTTTTTCTTGGCTAATTGCATAAACATGCACATGGAGCAGTCTGAGGATATTTACAGCTGCTTTTCCTGTGCACTAGGCACCATGTTAGAAGGAGATACACCAAAAAAACAAGACATGGCACCTTCTATCAAACATAAACCATCTAGACTACATTATTCCTTCATGAGTGATCTAACAGCTCCTGTACAACTCCAAATAGGGCAGCTTTGTACATTTAACTCCATAAAATGAAAAAAAAAAAAAGAAATGCTTGATGGCTAAGCACACATTTTAAAGAACTAGGCTGTATATTTTGCTCAACATATCTTTTCCTACAATCAAACCAGTCTATACTTTTCTCTGCGGCTAACCATCTCATCACTCAGTACTGCAGTACTGAGCCTAGAAATTTCTAGACAGTCTAAGTAACAAACAATAAAAGGAATTTGCTCTAAATTCATCTGGGAGAATGGGAACTAAATAAATTATTCAGAGTTTCAGATGAAATTTTTGTTCAATGCATGACATTGTTTTTATGGAATTATTTCCTAAATATGACTTAGTGGAAAGAAAAGTATTGGACTCGAGTTTCTTTGGCGATTAGCATGTATTACACCCACTTATGCTTCAGTTTGTTTATCTGCAAAATGGGCCTTCATCATAGATTTTTCTTTTTATTAAGGTAAGATAATCAATGTAAACTTTAATTGTGTAGATATCATACAGAGATAACTCTCCTTATCTTTCATCTCCCCATCTAAGTCTGAGGAGTAACAATTTTTAGGATAAGCTTTGTTTCAGTTATCAAAACTTCTTTGTTGAAGGTCACCATTTGCTTTCTATACCTTGATTTATTATTTTATGCTGTTTAGCAGGAAAATGTTCTTTGTATGTGTGTGCTTCCTACCTTGGTGATTTCTTTTAGCAATTTTTGTGAAATTCTGACCTCTAGTGGTTTGACTTTAAAATGACAACGGCAAGACAGTTTTACAATAAAGTTTATAAAGAATTTCAAACTTGTTAAGAAATATTTGGAGGATGTTTATCAACTTTCATGGAAATTTAAAATATAGCGTCTTCTTAAATTTCCACAACTTCCCTACTTAGTGGAAGTATATTAAACTTAAGCATATGGGAACAATCTCAGTGAAGCCAAGTGGAGTCACCCAGTTCTTCCAGGAGGTGTACTCTTGCAAACTGCACTGCAACCCTGGCCTTCTGCCTCCATGTCCAGTGTCATTTGTGACATCTACTAGTTTCTAATAGTTATATCTTGAGTACAAACACATCGTTGGCCCTTTTTGGTGATAAATCATGGCTAGGACAATGCCTAAGCACATGGGATTCAGGCAACCTTAGAGCCCAGCACTTGTTAGATTCTAAAACATGCTGAAATGTGATGGCACATCCCCTTTTTCATAATTAATGCCAGTACTTCATTAATTTGTTTGTGAATTAACACTATTTTACCCTTTGTTTGTATGGCTTCTTTTCCCATGTGGTCTTCTCTGGGATGCTGGCCTTGTTTTTGATTCCTCACTCAGAGCCTCTGCTCTTGATGCGTCCTGTGCCTGGTCCTCCTCTGCTCCAGGTCCTCCCAGGGATAGTTCCTTCTCCTCACTGTGGTTGTAGGCCAGAGTCATTGCACGGTACCTGTGCTGTCTATTGTAGGCATTTGGATACAATGGTCCATACCATTGTATGGTATTATTTTCATTGACTCATGACTAAATGAAAATCTCTTTTGTGTGAGAGCAGGGATCCTTTCCATCTTGTTAAGTGTGTTTTCCTACTGGACTTTACTGAATATAGCAGAAGCTTGGAAAGTACTTTTTATTAAATAATTGAATCCAAATTTTCCAGTGTCCCCTAACATTTTATCAACAGATCAGGTATCAACTCAATTGCTTCAAAATATCCTGTATATTCTATAGTTACCCAAGAGTGTTGCACATTCTCCCCAAACCCCTTAAAAAGGGCTGCTTCTAGGGTCCTAGAGGCCATTGTCATCATACTACCTCTCCAGTGGCCAAAGAAACACCCTGCCTGTGGTCAAGGCTTCTCTAAATACAACAGCACCACAGCTTCCCTGGAAACCCTGTCTCAGTCTTGCCTGGCCATGTAGCCACCTTGTTCAGTAAGATTGCTTCTTGCTGCTTCTGAGAGCAGTGAAACTACTACAAGGAACCATTGTTACCAGAAAATCAGCACATCTATCTACCTTGGTGCTTGTGTCCTGTGAGAAAATAATCCAGGCAAGACATGGAAATGTAGTGAAAGTGATAGTAAAGTTTATTAGGAAAAGAGTACACTTTTAATAGTCTAAAAGTGGATCATTCTAACGTGAAAATGACAATGACAATTACTTTTACCTTGGACCAGTTTTTATTGAAATGGAAGGGGCTTGGAGTGTTAAATTCCTCCCTAAGACCAGCTTGGGAGGCTGAAGGCACAGTTAAGGTCAGGATGCTAAGGTAAATCACAGATTTACAACGTACCAACTATTATTGAGTCCACCTGACCCCTAGGGTCTGGTTTACAAGTCTGACTCTTTGATTTGTTAAGTAAAAATCTTTTGTCTCAGGCACTGATGTTGACCTACCTTAGGATGGGAGACACAAGAACATCTTGTAACATCCCTTGATCTTAGTGGACTATCTTGATTTTTAACAGAATCTGTTAAGAGTTAGAAAGTTTAATTACTGTTTTCCTCTCAGAGACCTTGAAGAATCATGCATTTTTGTTTTTGGTTCCCTTAGCATAGCCCCATCATTCATGGCTAACTGCTACATATCATCATCACTGCTCTTCCACACATGTGGCCTGTGGTGAAATCACAGAGAAGAGAAGTGCGATCTTCCTTTCAGAATGACTCTAATGACAATGTCAGTCAGGTTAGCAAGAGCAGTCATTCCACCACACCCCGAAGAGTTGACATTTTCAACCCTGAGATTGCTTTACCGTTGTATTGTGATTTAATTACCACAAATGACTTTGAAGGGAAAAACATATAATTCCCATTGTATAGATGAAGAAACTGAGGTTCAGAATTATTATGAAGTCACTGGCCTAAGGCAGAGGAGGTTAGAATTTAATTCAGTTATTGTTGGACTATGTGCTCCAGTCAGCCTGCTAAACCTTCTAACTTGTCAGAGAGGCCCTCGTGCGGTGTTGACTGGACCAAAGTATTACATGTAGGCAGATGAATTCACT